CGCCTGTGTTGTATGGGGCAGAGTGTTGGCTAGTCAAGAACTCCCATGTTCAGAAGATGAAAGTAGCAGAAATGAGGTTGTTGAGATGGATATGCGGGCATACCAAGATACTAGCAGGAATGAGGATGTTGAGATGGATGTGCGGGCATACCAAGATTGATAAGATTAGAAAATGAAGATATTCGGGTCAAGGTGGGAGTGATCCCGTGGAGGACAAAATGCGGGAAGCGAGACTTAGATGGTTTGGGCATGTGAAGAGGCGAAGCACAGATGCATAGTAAGAAGGTGTGATTGGTTGGCCTTGGTGGGTCTGAGGAGAGGTAGAGGTTGGTCAAAGAAGTATTGAGGAGAGGTGATTAGGCAGAATATGACGTTACTTCAACTGATTGAGGACGACCCTTGATAGGAAGGTGCGGGGGTCGAGAATTAAGATAGAAGGTTAGTAGGTATTCGAGTTTGTTTCCTTCCTATTCCAGTGATATTAATGTCAGTCTTATATTTTATTATTGTTAGATTTTTATCACTACAAGTTGTTCATTTCGCCTAGTTTTCTTATTATCTTGTTGTCGTTACTGCTGCTTTATTTTCATCTTTCCTTACGCCGATGATATATCGAAAACAACCTCTCTATGTTCACGGTAGGGGTAAGGTCTGCGTACACTATACCCTATCCAGAACCCACTTACGGAATTATACTGTATTGTTGTATATATTGTTGGGAAAGAACGACTATTAAGCGTCTATCAGATAGAACCATTTTGGTAAGCCTTTGCTCGTCTATTTTTGGTAATGTTTTGTATTTAGGGATTTCGATGTAACTCTTGTTCACAAATAGAATAAAAATAGTAAGACAGATATTTGCACATCTTATGAGAGTTGTGGTATTGAAAAGTTCTTATGATAAGATTACTAGGAGATTTAAAATCAAGATGATGATCGTAAGGGAAACATTTTTACAGTTGAAAAAAATAAGAGGGCATGATTTTCCTTAATGATTATGACATTTGGTGGTCCTGTTTTTGACTCAAACGAAGAAGAAATTGCTAACGGACGGTTTGTCACCAAACGCAAACAGTACAATGGTCAAAAAGTCTCCTCCAATCTCTATTATTATGAATTTAGACCTGTTTAATTGTATTGTTACGAGTTTGACACATATAAGCCTTCCTTTTATCTTGTTAAATATTTGTAAAAAAAATAATAATTAACGAGTTCGCTAAGGTTGGAACAAATTGTGATTTGTGTTAGCATTTTGTAGTGATCAAACATTTATTGCGATTAGGCTAAGCAGTAAGCAGTATAACAAGTGAAAACTGACTGAACATAAATGGTATGGTAAAAAAATGCCTACAAGTCTTTAATTAACATACTTTCCTTTTGCACATCAAGAGTAGAGATTAATTATACAAGTTATTCTGTGCTACTCGAACTAAAATATATGTTAAGCACAGTGACGAACTCATAATTAGCATAAAAAGCACTTCAAAGTGGAAATCTAGAAAGGATGGCGTGGCTAATTGGTAGAAAAAAGACAAGCTGACCATGTAGATACAGTAGAGGACAAAAGGTCAAAAAAAAAAAACACTGATTGGGAAATACAAGGTTGCCTGATTCTTACTGGTTAATATTAAATATTAATGAACCAATCAGATAAAGCATTAGTGGGACAGAATACTCTACTGCACCTCTCTAAATAAGTTTCTTACTTTAAAGTCTAAACAAATTAAACGAAACAATGTTTATTTAAGTGTTGGCTTTCCATACATTTTTACATTTACTATAATGAGCTCAAAGAAAAGATTGACCAACGGTGAGCTGACATTCAAAAAGTAACGAAGTGTTGGACCCTTAACCCCTCAAAGAGGCCATGTTTGCAATCTTTAATAGGGGCTGAGAAAGTTTGGAGGATATATCGTCGAAAAAACTAGTGTATTTTGTTTTCTGCAGTTAGTGCTAAGAGGACATCATTTGGTCGGTGACTTAAATAAGCTTTTTGCGATACTTATGCTATGAATAATATTTATGACAAGGACATTTTGATTCTTGTATTTTCTTTACAAACCCATTGTAATTTCACTAGATGAGTCTGATAAAGGTATATACGCAAATATTATTCCTACCTGAAGAAGATAGAGAGTTTTACTACAGTAAAAGAACTTCTATACGAGTATATTATTTAAAAAATAATTATAGGTAATTGCATTATTAAATTGAATTAGTTACCTAAACAAAAAAGAAGGCAACCAGTTATAATATGTTAAATTATATTAATTGTGTAGATTTCTTTATTAGCCAAAAGTTTACGTGGCGTGGCTCCGCGTTTGCTTGATCTTTAAAGAATATCTCCTGTTTTAACTTTGTTGCCAAAATAGCCCTCGCATGTTTATTAGGCGAGCCAAATGACATATATGTCCTATGGATATAACATATAAGCTTGTGTTCTCGCGCCATTCATGTAAATAAGTTGATTATAATAGAGCTAAATTATGCATATATTGGTAGAATGCATATACTTTATAGTCTATCATGTTGTCTTAGCTTGTGTAAAGTTAAATAAACGAGTAGTTTGAGTTAAGCTCTGCCAATTTGGTAGAATTTTCTACCAAATGAATTATTGTAATATGATCAATATTACAATAGATCAATATGATCATAACTTGTCTCTTACCGGGGGTATTTGCATGAATTTTAATAAGCTGTGTAGAAACTTATAGAAGAATGAGAATAAATAGTTATTATATTTGTAGACAAGAACTAGTCTTAGTCCATTAGTTTTGTTGAGTCTTAAGTTAGAAAAGGTCCTTAGATCAGGATTACTTCATTACAATTACCACAGAGACTCCGTCAAATATTTGCCAAAAATATGTTCTAGCTAAGGTTCAAACCGCCAACCTTTTAGAGCAAAATCAGGCACATAACCAACGCGCCAAGAGACAATCTATGTCAAGTTGTGTCACTTTGTTTTAACTTATTTGTTTTCTCACAGTATTAATACATATATAGTAAAGTTTTCTGACGAAGTAATATCGCGTGGCACCGCTTCGTTGAACGTGCGTCCGCTCTTACCTACTACCCTTATCTATTTGTAGATTTGAAATTATGATAACCCGGTAGAGTTTGTGCGTTATGCAATTGGATAGCTAGGTTTAATACAACATGAAGTCCTACCAATTTGTCATAACTTTCCTGTCACCCTTCTAAAAGGTATTTTTTTCTCTTTTTGTTTGTAGCTTTAAAATTATGACAACCTGGTAGAGTTTGTTTGTTATGCAACGCGATATCTAGGTTTAATGCAGTATGAAGTCCTGCCAATTTATCATAACTTATGTATGGCAAAGTTCACCGATTTTGGTTGCTCTTGCCACCATCTTTGCCGCTCAACCTTAGGGTATTTTAGTTCGATTGTTTTTCACTAAACGAGCATCTGTACATATTGGGGCCATTTTTGCAATGTTGTTAATTCCGGAGATAAATTTTCTAGACCAGCCCTAAAGAATCCCCTTTGTGTCAATCTCCCTTTATTAGCAGTGCATATAAATTAAATCTCGAACAAATTATAATTTTGGTTCTCTTTTTTTCTTTAAGTAGTTGGGAAGGGCCATAAAATATCGAAAGATAAGAAACTTAAAGAGATTGTTGCACAAATAGCCGGTCAAATTCATTCTTTACTTTTTCTAACCGGTATACATAGATTATACATATTTATACATATATCATATGTGAATTATATACTATATATTATACATCCGTCGGTTATTTTTAGTTTAAGAAATTAGATGAGCGATTGTTTGGCTTAATTCTTCCAACTTTTAAAAAAAAGGAAAGACCATTTGATGGATTAAAAGCCTGCATCCATGCAGTGTAGGATAAAATACAACCACTAGATTATTATAATTTCAACTCTATTCGGGTTTTTGTTCATTGCTCAAATGATGTACGACAAATTTTAGGTTTTCAACCCTAGTCAAAGTTAAAGAAAAGAATAGGTTAAGTGGAGGTTGAAAAGCACAAGTGAGAAGGGGGTGAAAAAAGCAATATCTATCAAAAAATATTAGAACGAATCCTTTTTGTTGGCTCACTTTGGGATGGCAAAAGAAAATGACCCTCCAAAATCCACACGTTATTTAATCATTCGTTTTAAAAGTAATTCTTAAACTCACCAATCAAATTTTAGCTGTTGTAACCAGCCAAAATCAATGTCTTCTACCTAAAATTGTAAAATAAGAAAAAAGAAAAGAATAAAAAAGAGAAAGAGAGAAAATAATACACAAACAAAAAGGACCAATGAGCTTTTGTCCAACTTCAAATTATTTCTAGCGTCCCATTTTTCTTTGATCCTTTTCTCAATTTATTGTGTGGCAGAGTGAAAGCAGAATAATTCCAGTGGCACCAAAAGTTCAACTCCTCCTCTTTGCAAATTGAGAACCTCTTCCCCCACCCCCAAC